AAGGAAGGCAGGGCTGCCACTGACTTAGAACAACTTGAAACTGCTTTTCACTTTACTTTGTATAAGCAAAATGTTCTGGTTTCACTCTTTTCCTTAAACTGTGGTTATGCTTATTCAATTTTAAAGGTTCGCTACTCTCTTATCTACAGGTCAGAATTGTCTTTTCTTAGGCTTTAGTCATGTTTCTCTTCCACCAAATGACCGACAGTTGTGAATATCTAGTCTTTTTCACTGGTGTCATCTAGTGCTAATCACACACAGAACTTCAGTTCTTTAACTCGCGTCATCTGTCAAGAAGGAAAAGGTGTGTTATAACAATCTGTTGTTGTCCGTATTTGTTATGTGAAGATTTGCCGGTACATACATTTGAGTTTTGTTATCCTCCCATACTCGGGATCAGGCAGGCTTGTCCCGTTATATGAAAAACAACGTTCCCTTGCCAGTCTGCGTTTAGTTTCCTTCACACCTCACCCTTTTGACTCATGATGATCTTGGTCCCTAAGATGAACCAGGACCCAGTGACCTCTGCTGTGTGTTTGGGATTTTGTACCATAGCAGGAGTGGTTTGGAGGCAACAATGCACAGTGTACTGCAGGAAAAAAGTCACACAAACAATTCTGTCCAGCACTAATAATACCCTTTTAACATTTGATTAGTGAATGATGTATTGTGATAATACTAAAATATTTGTTTTAAATAGGTTTCACACACAGATGGTATGCATGCTTGTAAAACAGATAATACAATTATATTTTTTATTTTGTTTAGTAAAAGGACATTTACCTTTTTGTATAGCATGCAGTGTCATCTCATAAATATCGCAAATTAGATCGCTTTAAAGTTATGTTCTAAGAAGCTAATCACTCTATCTTCTAAGTTTATTAGGTGATAAAGCATAATTGGCATATTAAAAACCCCAAACTTTAAGAGAGAAGATTACATCATAGCCTACAGCATATTACAGTCTTGATACTAATTTTGTGTTTAGTCACATCTATGCCAGCAAATACATTAACTTTGTGCATATATATATATGTACATTTATTTAAGTACTGGCATCTGTTAGAAATGTGTATTTTGTTGTAATTTGAATGACATAAAAAGTACAAAATGTACAAATTTCCATCAAAAGTGAAATATTAGATTGTATCCACAGAGATACTGTAGCTATTGCAGATGCTTATGTCTTAGACTCTCATTAGATCCCCAAAAGCTGTGTGTCTTCTGTTTTTGATGCCCATATATTTGTTTAATTCAGCTATAGAAACCTTCACTTTTGCTGACGGGCTCTTTAATATTAGCAGGAAATTGTTCAGGCAATTTTTAAAGAAACAGTGGAGCAGACATGGATTAGGCTGTGATGTTTTTATCCTTCTGGGAAAAGGAACAACTTTGTGTTTTTTTCGGATTTTAAGAAGTAAAAAGGAAAAGACTCCGATAAGACGTTTGTAGGCTCAAAATACACCAGCGGCATCAATGAATCAGACGGGAACAAAATAAGCTCACCAACTGAGAAAAAGATCGTTACTTGTCAGCAACTTCATCTCCTATCACACTGCAGCCTTCTCCAAAAATCCCCAAAGTCTTTTTTAGCATTCTTGAAAGACCATTATGTTTGGGTTATTCATTATTACTACACACTCAGTCTTTCACCCATTGTAGGTAATTTGTGTTTGCCATTGATTTCAGTGATAGTAAGATCAGACGCTAAATGATCTAACGGTGATTAAGGACCTGGTTCCAGTTGCTTAACTTATATCTGGTAGAACTTTCTCACCAGAAAGCCCGCTGAGTCAGTAGAATAAATCTGAAAGTCAATGTTAATGATTCAGTAAGTGTTATTTGAGTGAACTCAGCTAGCTTATGGATTTTATAATTCTAGAAGAACTTATGACATATAACTTAAAAATTTATTTTCTTTTATTTTCAAGTATGCTGGTTTCACACTGAAGTTGAAGGCTAAGTAAGGATACCAAACATAACTTGGCTATTTGAGAGAGGACTGAGCAAAGAGCTAGCTCTGTTATTGCACGCATGGAATAACTCAGAGTTACTGCTTAATATATGAAGTTTGCTATAATTACCATGAAAGCACCTGACTAATTCTTTTCTGGGGGGTTGTGTGGAGGAGTTAGATCTATAAATAATTTCTTTCTGATTTTGAGAGAGACAAATGCTGGCACATCCATCATCCGTATTCTGTTCCCCTTGATCCTGAAGAGGGTAGCATATTTAACTTCATACATGCAAAGTTTTTGGTAAAATTTCTGTCTAATTTAGGGCCCTGAAAAAAACAAAACACAAGCCCACTTCTCTGAGCGTTTTAGGTAACATACATAAGTACATCTAACATACATTGGTAAGTAGGTAAGTACATAACAAACACGTCGGTACTTTACTAGCCCAAATCAAAGAGTCAGTTTAGAAACCTCAAAAATCCTGGTCAGAATTCATTCTAATCAAACTGCAGCAGATTTGATAGGAGACCCTAGACCTTGTACTGTTGTTGTATTGCTGTCACTTAACAGCTCGCTGGAGCCATCACTTAAACCCACTGAAACCTTGAAGCGCTTCGTAGGGCTTTTGGCCTGGAACATCTGCCAAAATGGAGTTTTAGGTAACTTTTATGTGTATACAAGTTTTAAACAAACATTTATTTCTGTAATTGGAAAAGAGAGTGTCTTTCCGTGCAAAATATTTCCACTGTTACTTTTTTTTTTTGCAGAGATAACTCTATACCTCGTTTCATTGTATTGTCATTCCTCTGCGTCTGTGGCTGGAGTTGGTACCAGGGCGTACTGGCTGTTCTGTACTTCTCTTGCAAAGACAACTTTATACCTCATTTCATTTTACTGTCATTCCCTCTGCTTCAGCGGCTGGGCTGGTACCTGCGAATACTGGTTGAACTGTCAGAATCAGGCAGGCTTTTAAGAAAATGAGTTTTGACATTCCTTTCCTTAAGATGATCTCTTGTTTTTTCAATTACTGCTTTCTGACTTTGGAGATTTCTTAAGGTAACCCTGAGTTTGTTCCCAGACTGTCAACCAGGTGGCAGCAGTGCCACGTCGGAGCGGCTTCCATACCTTTTCCCTGACATCAAGTGTTAATGCGATTGACCAATCAGTGCTAAGATGATGGGAGGTAATTGGGTAATTGTATTTTACTGATCACAAGCAGAGAAAAGAAAGGGGAGGGGGGGGAGAAGGAGTCAAAAAAAAAAAAAAAAAGAGAGAGAAAGAGGGGAGAAGGAGGAGTGTAGCCAGCAAGACTGGCCCTGGGACATTTGCAAATCCTAGGGTGCTACTGAAAGGTGGGGAGTAAGAGAAAGCCAGAGTGACAGAAAAAGCAGAGCTACTCCCAGCAGCACCAGCAGCAGCAGCTGTCGGGAACTGGATGTATACATACATGCGTACGTACATGCACACACAGGGAGAATTCAAGCTGAAGCTAATGGGAGGGAGGAAGGGTTTCGGCTGTGCATTTGAGGGATGAAACTCAAAACTGAACGAAGCGTCTGCGCTCCTGGGAATGTGTCATCTTGGAAGGGAGGGAGGCAGGCAGGAAGGAAGGAAGAAAAGGGGGAAGATAACTGGCATATGGAAGAAGATGGGAGACTAACTCACTGCTGTGCAGAAGGGAAATCCAACTTGTAGATCTGAAATACACCAGGCTGAGCTTGGAAATGAGATCAGCCCTGCATTGAAATAGAGAAAGGGAGGAAAAGGGAGGCAGAGACTGGAGAGCTTTTATCCTTCTTCCTCTATCTCTTTCCCCCTCTCTCCTCAAAGAAGAAATAGAAGTTTATCCGTCTCGGTGCTGCTGGATCTGTATAGCTGCTGGACAAAAGATGGAGAGGAAGCTGAAATGAAAAGCAAAGGGTGCTTGTGAAATTTACAGCTGAGAGGACAAATCACACCTCCCCGGGCTTCTTTTGTGCCCCGTCGGGGGACTTTTAACATCAGAAAGGTTTTGAGAAGTGAGGGGGGGGTGGGGGGGTGGGATGGCAAAGGGGGAGAGTGGGCGTTAAAAACACCCGTCCCAAGTGTTTAAAAAATAACAAGCGGATGGATTTATTCTTGACAGCTGGTGGGAACCTTGAATTTTTCTCTACTCCCTCCCTCCTTCATTCCATTTAATGTGAGATTATGAAAATGCAGAGGAGTTGGAGGGAAGGCAAAAGGATATAACGTGGAGTTTGAAGCGAGGAGAGGGTGCTGATGCTGTGGATTGCTGGCTTCTTGCTGAAATCAAAAATCCAATTGCGCACTGGGTTGTGATTGGAAATCTAATCAGATCTTTGGAGAGGGGGGAGAGAGACTAAAAGTTTATTGTTTTGACAGACACAAATAAAATATTAAATGCAAAAGGAGAGTCTTTTCTAAAGAAGTGTGGGGGATAGAGAAAAAGAAGAATGGGAATCCCCGTTCTAATGTGGAGACACACGGATTGGATAATTGATAGTGCAGCAAAGAAGGGGGAAGAAGAAAATTGCCTGGCAAGACCTGGATCTTAACAGTCACAACAAAATTACATTAAAAGAATACAGATGGAGGGTTGCTTAAAAAGAAATGCAGCCCTTTCTGCTCTCCAGAGAAAAAACAAATAGTGAGCGATGGAGAGCAGTGGAGCCAGAGAGGCAGAAAACCTCAGAAAAAGGAAACTAGGCAAAGGATCCACAGTGGAATGAAAAGTTTCGGAAAGGAGAAGGACCATTCATCCTCTGCAAGGATTTTTGGTTTTTTCCTGTTATTTTAAACCACTCTTCTCCAGTGAAGGCAAACATCAATGTTACCACGACAGCAGTTTTAAGCAGAAAAGTTGAAAGCCACAGAGAAAATAAAGGACAGAGAAGAAGAAAGCAAAATTGCCGGAGGGGGAGAGTTCAGCAGTGTTGGGTTGGATTGGCACCTGTATGGACTGAAATTGCTGGGAAATTGCAATCGGATATCCCTTTTTTTAATTTCCTGTCTTGGTTTTTAATTTTGGTTTGGTTGCTGAAATGAAATAGTTTTCTAACCCCTCCCCCACCCTGGGTTTTTGTAACCACTCGGATTTCCAGCTGGGTAGTCTTTGAGGATACAGTAAGTACACTTTCCATTTTATTATTTTTTTGGAAAGGAATATATGCCCCATTGCCTCTCTTCTTTCTTCCTTATCCCTCTTTCCTTCATCTTTTCCCCCACCTGAATAAAGAATCTGACTGGATTTTGATAATGGCTGGAGGGGGCGGTTGGGAACGGAGAAGGGAAGCAACGAGGACAGAACTGAATTCTCACAGCAGCTCAAATATTCCTCTTAGTAAAACTCCAGCCTTGGTAGGATGTTGCAGACGCCTGCCTGTGTGGCTCTATAGCATTTGTAAATGTTCACTAGCAAAGAAATCTTCTGAGAAAGCCCCTGCAGTGAGTGGGGGGTGCTGTCTTATTGCCCACTCTGCATGAACGAATGCAAGTTACATAGAATTGGATGCACAGAGGGGCTTTATTTATTTATTTTTGGTAAGTGTTTAAAATAGTGAAGGGCTCTGCTCTGAATGCTGGCATCCAGTCTGACATTGCAGATCAATATGGTGTATTAACAGGAAAATTTTATAGTCAAGCAGGGAGGTGAAGGATGGCTTTTGGCGGGAGTGGGGGGGGTGGAGGACAAGGGGTTTTAATGGATTTCGAGGAGGCAGCTCTGAGAGAAATGGCACCTTTTACACTCCATTGCGAAGAAAAAGCAGTAGCAGGCAGAGAGAGGACATTCTTCTGTTGAAGGGGAGTTTAGGAAACTGCTGTACTAGCCACCCTCTGCCCTCCAGATCTCCTAGGAAATTCTTTGTGATTTCGTGGTGAATCCTTCAGGCTCCCCTAGGACTTTCATGGCAGTTGAAGGAGATTTACTTTGATTGACAGGCAGTGAGAGGATACTGTGGTGGTAGGAGGTTTTTGTTTTTATGCTGATAACGAAAAGAATTTAAAAGTGCCTTGTAGATGGTGGGGTTCACAGATCAGCAATGATGTGTAACAGACCAGTAAATGTCTCTCCCTTCTTGGAGAAATGTGGTGTGGGGGTGTGGAATAAAGGGAGGATAACATGGTGTTTAAAATAGAGGTCCTTGTTTTCCTGTGGGGAAGAGTGTCACTTCCGTCCCCTCTCCTGGCATGACTGCTTCGCTTGTAGATAGGGAGTTTTCTTCTTCTTTCTTCTCCTTCTCTCCTCCCTCACCTCTGCCCTCCTCAACCTTGGCCTGTACATGTAGAGGCTCCAGCTGACAGTATTAGGCCAAAACTGGTGGAGAAGGAGAGAGAGAAACAGCTAATGAAATGAGCCATTGAAAGGATACGGATATTTTTTGGCAGGCAAGGTGCAGAACTAGCTTTGCCACTCGTTTTACTTTTCTCTAGCTGCAATATTCTGGAGGAGGGGAGAGAAGGCAGGGATGGGAGAGGTGTTGGTAGAGTCGGATTTTAATGTTTTTTTTCTGGCAGCTTTTCCCTCTTCATAAGCTTCCTGTGTGAAACAACACAAACCATAGCTCTAACTTCCCTTGATAAATACATAAATAAATATTAGCATCTTCCTTTTCCCCTCCCTTTCTTCATTCACTCACATCACCACTGTTACTTCATGTAAACGTCCTGAATCTTTTGGTATAATGGAAACGAGACCTTCTGCCTCTCAGATGTGTCCCATGCGCCTCTGTTTGGAGGTCATACCTCTTAAACATTGGCTACTTGTACAGGATTAAGATTTAGGGTGCAATTCTGCTCCTAAGGAGGTCTCTGGGAGTTTTTGTTTGGCCACGCGAACACATCAGACCCTTTGTGCTGGTGTGTTTAGAAAAAGGAGGAAGCAGGCACAGAAAAAAATTGTTCTTTCCAGCTCCAATTACTCTCATCTTTCTCAGTATAGCTAAATCAGTTTAGTATGAAGTGCTTTAGCCTCATTTACTTCTCTGGGCACATGTTTCCTGGTGGGACACTAAATGGATAGTAAGTTTGTCAGCATCTGAAAATAAGCACAAAACTCTGTTCTCCATTCCTTCATGTATCATTATAAGTCTGTGCCCTATTGTGGGCTACACTTACATCAGCAGTTGCAGTAATAGAGCAGCTAAATTTATGTTAAGCTGCTGCTCAGTAATTACTGAAGGAAAAAGAAGCTGGCTAAGGAAAAGGCATCTCCAAGCTTTTCCCTGGATTGCTGTCAAGTGAACACATAAACAGAAAATTTGATAGAGCAACTCCAGTTTTTGACAATAGAAAGCTGCCATAGGTGCCTCATTCATTTTGTACAATAACTAGCAGGAGGATTTTCTTGATGTTATAAGGAAGCACTGAGAAAATTTAGCCACCAGTTTGGGCTGAAATGGGCAAACCTTGTCAACATTAAAAAGCTAGGGATGCGTGTCTGCTTCTAAAGAGGCAACAGTTTCACACTTCAGTGAATCATTCACTTAATACAGTAGCCAAAAGACACATGGAATAACCCAGAGTTTAACTCATTCAGTCTCAAAGTGGGAACTAGTATAGCATTTCTCAGCATTTGTGCTGGGCCTTGTCCAGAGCCCAAAGGGCTGATCTTAAAATAAATGGCCAAAACCATCAATCCCAACATCCAGCTAAACGAGGAGCAACAAATCTCCTCGAGCAGAGGCAAGACCTGGCTGTCTCTGCTAATTCCCTCGCAGGTGCCTGAGCACAAGTGTATCATTCAGCAGCATATGCTGGTCCTGTGGGCTGTCTCCTCTTCGAACCATGGATAATCCCTTTGGTAATGACCCCAGGCAGCTGGGATTTTGGCACTGTACGGGGAACCATTATGTGTATGTTTAGGCACCAAATGCTTGTAGAGAAGGAAAGAGAAAGCTATGTTGAAGGGTCCTGCTCCATTTGTTCTCCAGAAGGTCAGAGATCACGCACCTCAAACTTCAGGTATTCTTGGCAAACTGTAGGTTAGTAATGCAAGGGGGTAGCTACTCCATGTCTTTTCACGTGTCAGGAATGATTTGCACTGATCTAGAATGGGAGCAGGTTCAGTTTGCTGGAGCAGCAAATTTTGTGTCACAGTATCTCCCAGCCTGATGGCACTGACGAGTGAAAAATGGACTTTCAGATTGGGTGAGACCCAGGAAAGAATGCTCTAGATCTGAGCCAATACAAGCAATCGTGTGGAACTGGAGGAAAAGAAAGGGATTCCCCAGGTGCTGTCATGGCTTCCTCCATACAGGCTTTAAAATTATTTGCCTGTGACCTAAAAAGCTGTCTTCCATTTGACACGAAGATTCCTGCTGTAGCAACGTGAGACAGGAAGGTTTTGAATGGGGCTCGGGGCAGGATTTTAGCACATTTTGAGAGAGCTTGGTGTCGGTGAAAACTCACAAGCCAAGCTGTCCAGGAGTGAAGCTGCAATATATTCATTGAAGGAGTGCGCGGGAGCCTCCATCTCCGTCTTGCCAGCGTGCCTTCACTTTGCCTTGGAGATATCTCTTTTTTTCTGATTGCTAGTGAGGGAATGAGGAGAGAGAGAAGGGTGCTGGAATTAGTGCCGCTTGCAGCCTGGGAGGAAAATTACTCTGAAGAAACGCAATTAGCACCCACCAAGTCATTTTGAGAGTAGTCAAGCTGACTGGACTTTGGGCTACTATTAGCAGGGGCCCTTCTACATTCCCATCCATCCCCTTGCCAGCTGCTCTGTGAAAATCATCATGAAAACCAAGCTTCCTTCAGTTATAAGGTGCTGCCCCCACAGGACAACCCAGATGAGAAGGATTTAGTAGAAGCAGAGCCACAGTGGTTTGGAAGGCAGCCTAGCAGCGTGCTCGAGTCTAGCAGTGTGGGCAAGAAGTTGCCCTTAGAAAGGGTCCTGCCGCTGCTTTCTGTAATGGCAGAAGACATTGGGGCTTGGCTTGTGACATTTCGGAGTGGTTTATTTAATGCTGTTATTCAGAAAAGAAGGGTACTTGGTTTTTAGCTGTACTACCGCGGTCATTTTTTCTCTTGGGGGATAGAAATGGGGACGCAAGAAGGGAGATGAGGGTGCTGGTGGTGTGTTTTAATTGCATACTCACAAGCCGCAATACATGGAAGTGAATTAATGCGTAGTTCCTGGTAGGGGGCCTGGATACTTTGCTATCTGTTAGAGGAAAAGGCAAAAATCAGACGCTTGTGCATGCACACAATAAAAGAGAATCAGGATTTACATTTGGTATCCAAGGAAGCGAGAGCAGAATCCTGCAGGGCTTTCTGTTCATTGTTTAAATGTTGCCATAGCAATATCTCAGGGCACAAGTTACATGTTTTCCACTTCTGGAGTTGAGCTTTTCTTCCCTCTCTGTTTTTCTCTCTCTCGATATACGCAACAGCCAGGGGTATCTCCACAGAACTTTGCACAGCAATAGGAAAAGGTGTTTGAAGGCTGCCTTATCTGTTCGCATTTGTCTGTCTGTATGTTCTTCCCTGTCATTTACGAATATGTTGGAAACCCAGTTAGGAGGAAATTGTTGGATAGAAGTGGAGTGTGAGGCTTTTGTTGTTAGGACATCGAGCATATTACAATATTTTGTGTAGTGGTGATATGTTAATTGGATAGCTGCAGGCAAGCAAAGTGTAGCAGTCGCTGACAATTAGAAACAACAATGAACTTCCCAGGACTGAATCTATTCCTTGGGCAGATTAAAATGCATTTCAGGTATATACCAGAGCTTCTGTAAATTTAAATACTAACACCACTGTAAGAACTCTTGAAATTCTGTTTTCACAGTGCTGAGACAAGATTTACCCTTGCTGCTTGTGAAAGGGAGAGAGGCAGCATCAGACCACTGAATAAAATCTCCCATAGTATTTGCTGCAGAGCTTGTACTTGTTATGTCAGGACTGTGGGGGAGCAATATAACCAGGAAACCAGAATTAAAAAGGAAACCAACCAACCCCAAAACAAAGCAAAAAAACTCCAGCAACAACAGTTTCACATGCAACTAGATAAAGCGTACTCAGAAGTATCACAGCAAGATAAGTTAAATGAATGAATTTTTGTCTGCAAACCAGCAGCAATTCAGAGTATTTATTAATGCTCTTTGTGCTTGAGGGATCTCTTT